AGGGCCTTCATAGGCAGTGGAATATAAAATTGAATCGTTGAAGAAATCGCCTTAAAACAACAAATTTTTTTTATAGTACTTTGGAAACATTCAGTATTTAAGTAAGATAAGTAGATAAAAGTAGTTAAGTAGATAAAAATGGACCATAGAGCCAATTATACACTCAAGCATGACACTTGAAGTCTAATCGAAGTGCATATGTATGCATACATATTTACAGTAGTGCTGTATGTATATGCACACTATATGAAGAAAAGGCCAACTAACGAGAACACAAGCTCTGGCATTGCTTTAATGGGCCTGGACAGGGCCATTTAGTTGCTCGTACATAGACATAAGAGCGCATACATACTTACATATATACTCGTACACATAAATATGCATATAGACATGCATATGTTGTTGTCATATGTACATACGAGTATTTGCCTTGAACCTTACACTAATGCGCTTTAAATACTAAACGCAGTGCTTGTCACTCATCATCAGCAGCATTATCATGATGATGATGATGGTGATGATGTAGATGATAAGGCTGAGGTTGATGATCATTAGCTGGCCACATGGCGAAAAGCACACAGAAATGTGCAATCTGCATTTAGTTAAATAAATATAAACAAACACACATACATACTCGTAGTACGAGTAGAAAACGGCAACAAAAGCAGTGAAATGTTAAAAAATGACGAGTCCATTTGCAACAACAAACTGGACATTCAAAGAGCAAAAAGCCCTAAACTAACAAACAAAAACAAAAACAAGAGCAGAAAGCAAAACAACTCTCCAAAAAAGCTGCCCCGAACCGACAGTCGGGGTCTGGTTGGGAAAAATTCAATGATGTCTATGGATGGATGGATGGATGGATGGATGGATGGATGGATGGATGGATGGACTGCCGGCTGCCTCTGCACAAAAGCCGTGTCAACATGCCGAAGTGCACTGTGCACACACACACACACACACACACATACAGAGTAGGTCTATATACATACAACAACAAGAACAACAAGAAGAAGAGTATGCTAACTGCAAATGCAGAGCAGCGAACGGTAAATATACACATAGAGGGCCGGCAGACAGCAGAAGCTGGAGGAGAAGGAAGGGGGAGAAGGCAGAGTAAAGCTTAAAAATGCTGCAAAATGTGCAAAAATAAAATATTAAAAGCGTGCAAAAGTGCAAATGGTATAGCTAGACAGAGAGAAAGAGAGAGAGAGAGAGAGAGCGATAAAGAGACGAAAAGGGAGTGAGTGTTAGATAGAGGGAGATGGGGAGAACTCGCGAGCAGGACCACAGTCCGCGCTCGTCCTTTTTGTTGTACATGTGCTTTTTGCAACGCATTTTTTTATGTTTTTTATTTACAATTTTTAATGAGTTGCAAAATGGTTGCGGCGCTTTTTTAGTTCGTTGCTGAAGTGCGGCAAAGAATTAGTTTTTTTTTCCACCCCTTGTTTGTTTGTGGTCATTATTTATGCAGGCGGTGCTAGAAAGGTCTGCAATATCTACATATATAATTATGAAATAAAAAAAAATTGCAAATTGACGTCAAATATAATTCATTTTAAATACTCAGAACTTATATGGTTGTAGGTGGTCCTCATATAAATGTTGAAAATAAATAATTAATTGAATTATGTTAAGCTTTGAGGATGATTTTTGAAGCGTTTGAACAACATTAAAAACAGTAAGGTAGAACTGTATGCCTATCTGTAACAAATTACATAATGAAGACGGAATAATAATGATTTCAAATATACATATGTTATGAATGAGAATTGATTTCAAATACTTGTATTCTCTAAGATTCTCTATTAATCCTCTCTAAAGAATGTTTTGCGTTGTACAAGACGCGATACTTTAAAGAAAAATACGTTCACCGATTAATGTTTCCAAAATTAAATAAATCGTCAATAAAATTAAATAATATTGTGCGAAAAATTTAAGCATATGTCTACATAATAATAGAACAGCATGTGGCTTGGGAATAGGGGCATTAAATCGAGCTATTTAATCTTCAATTAACCAAAAATATTGTACTATTATATGTTATGAATCAAATAATATACGCTACTGTTTTCTAAATATAAGTTGATCACTTTTTGAAATAAAAAATACATTAATATAACAGATGACTACATTTGTCACTAAATAAGCATTCTTATTAATGTTGCAGAATAATTCTGTATTACTGCAGGGTTTTAACTTTCCTAGCTCGATAAAAGCAGCATTGCAATGGCCAAGCTGTTAAAAATAAACACTTTTGGCTGAATAATTATGGTATTGGTTCTACGTATGTTCTGAGTAGAAATTGTTCAGCCCATCCACAACTGCAGCTACAAGTTGACTGACGTCAGTTATTTATTCCCAATCGTTTGCATAATAATGCATCAAAATGGCGGCAGCGTTGCTGTTATCGTCCTTCCCTAAAGGGTTGTCCTTTTCGATGTAAAAACTGCTCAACTGCAGCGCCAGCGCCAGTGCCAGTGCCAGTGTTGCCAGTGTCGATTGCACAGCCACGACCAGGACCCGCGCGCCCTCCAAAGGACCGTCTGCGTCTGCCTTTTTGTTGCCCAACGACGACGCAAACAAACTGAAGAAAAGCTGCCGACGCGCCGAGTGATATCATCAAAATGAATATAAGATTATATTTGCCGAGGCATAGAAAGGCACGGTGAAGGGGCACTATGAAGGACTGAAGAATGCAAAATGGGATGAAGAGAGCGTAGACGTAGACGAGATGAAGAGCTCTGCCGCCTGGCTGGCTGGCTGGCTAGAGGTGAGCAAACAAAGACGCTGATAGAATGAAATGCCAAACGACAATTGAAAGGCATAACAAAAGGCCAGAACGAGGATGAGCAGTGAAAGGGGTGAGGAAAGCAGAGCAGCCAACTATACTTAAAAAAAAAAGTATAGAAAGTCGCCCTTAAAATACTTACAACTGAAGGCAACTAGCCCTACTTTTGAGCAATTTCTCTAAAACAAGTGCTGGTTTTCATAATATTAAGAGAACTTTACACTGGAATTGTTAAAAATTACTCTAAAAGTCAGATTTAATTTCTTGATGGTGCAAATGTATTTTCATTTAAATCTTGATTTACTTTTTTGTTGTTTAATTTATTTATGATTAAATATTTTTGCGAAATCGACTAAATTACAATTTTCAGTTTCGTATAACGAGATCGAATTCAGAAACGGGAATGCTTAATGCTGCTTTACCGCCTGCTTTGTGAATTTTAATGACTAACCTGCATTATTCGAATTCTTTTATAAAAAGTCCTTGGCCCAAACCACAGCTCAATAATAAATTAGGAACCCATTTGGTAATGAAGTCCCATATTCTACAATAATTATTTTCGAATATAAATATTTGAATATTTGTAGTTTAGTGCGAGCTTGTAAATAAAAACACGCACAATGGCGGAAAATCCACTTGAGAAATATAAATAAATGTCAAAAAAATAGTTTCTGATCTTCAGAAAGAAATTTAGAAATTGGAAATCCGTAGTGAAGAATATTATTTTCCATAAACTTGAAATTATCGATAATAGGTATATGAAAATTTTTAATATTTAGATTAATGCAGGGATTGCCTTAAAATGCTTTTAAAGTGTAAAATCCATGGTGTTTATTTCCTTTTTAAGGTTAATATGTCTTAACGATCGAAATTGTGACTACTTTAGATGAGAGTTTTAAGTTTTAGGGCGCTTTGCTATAAACTGAAAAATGTGTTTTTCCAAGTGTAATGCAAGAGTCAACGCAGTTGAGTGGGCGCCGCCATCACCGCTACCGTTACCATTACCGTTACTGCAAAAAGGTGCATGGCAAGGCTGTTAGCTGGCAGGCTAGAGGCATTGCCATTTTGCTTTTTGGTGCGCCCATCTTCGGCTTCTCATGGGCAGCTGCAGGCGATACACACACACACACATACGCACACACACACAAATTCTCACATGGAGACAAATCAAGTGTGAACAAAATACGGCCAAGTTTTGGTCGCCACTTGAGCGCCCAATCCGGCTCCCTTTGGCTCCCTGGTCTGAAGAGGTGTGCCTACGAGAGTTGCTTTGTTATTGTTGTTGGCACATTTTACCTAAGGCAACAAAAACAACAACAACAAGAACGCCACTCAGCAATGACTTGGAGTTCGCCTTTACTCACTTATTTGTCTCTATGTACGAGTATGTATGTAAATAGGTAGATAGGTGGATAGGTACGAGTACGTGCGTACATAAATATTTTAGGGGCGGGCTCTTCTCTCGCTCTTCTGTCTATAATAATTCCAATTCGACATTTTGTGTTTCATTCATAATGCAGTGAGTGAGACGCGTCTCCGCACTCGCTCTCTGCCTCTGCCTCTGCTTCTGCTTCTGTTCCTGCTACTGCTAGTCCTGTGGCCTTTTGCTGCTCAGTGAGGACAGCACAGGACAGGACAGGCCCATCCAACATGAACACGAACGTCATTATGATGTTGGCGTAGTCCTTTTGCCTGTTATTCCTGTTGCTTGCTATCTCTTTCACAATCGCACAGAACCCAAATGGCCCAGCAGCAGCGAACACACACACTTAAGGGTTGTTTTTAGCTGCCCCTCGCACAGGCGCACACACACAGAAACACACATACACACACACACACACACACAGAGACACTTTGCTCAGTTCACAGGCACAGCCAGTGAGTGAGTCCAGTACCTTTTTCATATTTCTTAAGCCCACACACAACCGTGCTTGCCATCATTCCGCTTCGGTCGCTGATCCTGTGTGGAACGCTCTGTCCTGTCCGTGTGCTGTGCGCGCTCTAACAACAGGAAGAAGAGAAGAAAAGAATAGAATCGAATCACATATATAGAACATTCAATAGAGTTACGTCTTTTTGGCGAAACCCTCAACTAACTGCCAAAGTGCTGCGACAAGTGAACACATTTGACAACAAATCGAAAACAGTTTCTGCATAAAAGTGTGTGAGCTCCTTAGCTTTATTCAAAAACATTCTACAAGTGCGTGTCCTTCAGTTGTTCGATCGGGCGCCTAGTGCTATATAGCAAACAAATTGGATACGAATAGGCAGTGCCTAAATATGGTTTACTTTGTACGTATTACAGACAATTTATTCAGTTATTTATAGCTTAGTGCAATCACAATTTATTAAAATAAGTTTTGAACAAATTAAATGTGCAATTACGAGTATGCCGACGGCAACGATTTCTCGCAACGATTTGAACCGAAACTTGCTTAAGAACGTCTTATCTAAGATAGATTTCTGTATAAACAAACAAATTAGCAGCATTTTTGTAAAACAACAAACATTGATAACTAAAAAGTAAGCAGACAACAATATAAGTTTATGAAGCAAATATTACTCACGAATAGGTGTGTCGAAATAAATTAAATATTTGCAAAGCTACAATAGAAATAACCCAATGAGTAACCTCACTTATTTTTGAGAATAGTCCTAATTTCTTTTTAATATTTTAGATTCATATATACAGTACATACCACCTATATCCAAAGTATTATCTGATATTTGCTTTAAAGTTCAAAGTTTTAAGCTTGCGAGCCTTAGCTTGTTTTCTGAAAACAGCTTAGTAGTAAGTTCTTCAAAGACATGCAAAAGTTCTGATGGTACAGATATTTTTGATGAATATATATGTAAATCTAAAGATTTGGCAACATTATTTTTAAAATTTGAAATAACTTAGACATAGGCTTTGTGTTAATTTTGTAAGTATTAAAAGACATGATAAGTTAATTAAATATAATTACCATAGCAATGAAAAGAAATCGGCTATATCTGCTATACAAGTATTCGGAATTAATGAAGAAACAAGCGACACTTTTTGCAAAACTAAACCTCAAAAATGAAAGACTAATTTGAATCTTCCGAACAACAATTTGTCATTTCTAAGCAAACTATATCTAACTTCCGTAGATCGGAAATTTTAAAAATTATTAAAGAAGTTCTGGATTCTACATTGTCTTCAGTTGATATCAGAAGTGTAACAGCCAAAGTTTCAGTTTTCTCGTATAGCTAATAAGCACAACTAGACATTCAAAGGCTGTCAAGTGGACACTTGAAGACCAGCACACACACACACATACACACACACACACATAAAAGTGTAGCTCTCGAACTTGTTAAGCCCAGTAATACTTGTACATACGGTTTTAATAAAGGGCCCTGGACTATGTGCGGAGAAAGTTTCGTTCAAGGGCTAAACTTAATAAAATTAACCAACACTTTAGGCGTCAAACTAAAACCCTGTGTGTGTGTGTGTGTGGAAGAGACCGCCATTGCCAAGCTACTTACTGAGGCGTCAAATCAAGTTAATTAAAAACGGCAGCACAAGCAGGGCAGCCGCCTTGTAAGGAGAGAGGCTGAAGTCTCAGAACGGATGTCGCACATTAGGAACACTTGAGGAAGCACGCATGTACTTATATACATACATACATATATACATATATATAAATATACGCATGCATATATGGTTCAAAGATTTTACACTTGCAGCCAAGTGTAAAAAATTTAATGACTTGCGTGACGTTTCGCGTTTTTGCGCCAAAAAAAAAAGAGTTGATTGTTGTTATGATTGATGCAATGATTTTTGGCAATACTCGTATGCTCGTAGGGCTCCATTGTGCAGGTTAAGTGAAGTGTGCGGATTGGGAAATTGGGAAAGGGTTATGGCATGCATATTTTAATACAATATGAAGCTGCTTTTTCGTAGCAATGCCACAAAGAATTTGCATTGTTTTTCGATGCGGTTTTGTTTTAATTGTTCGCGCACAACCCGCTGACTGGGCAGCCACAAACGGAACTCTGATCCTGCCACGGATGTCCTGCCGGCGGGAACGCGCAACTGCCATTCGCTGGCGGGCCTGCGGTTGCGATTCTGTTTGCGTTTGCTTTTTGGGGCGTGTTCTGAGTGCGACGCGCTGCGTTTGTTTGTGCCACATTAGTTGCGCATGAGCGGACGCAGCAAGCGGCTATATATTCGCCAATGATTGCAAACAATGAGGCGTATGCTATATATTAATTGATAACCCGTTGCTTATTTATGCAAATACAAAGACTAACCGGCGATCATAGCACATATTGCATGTGAAAGCGATTGATGTTGTGGAAAAATAATAGAAAAACTTCTTAAAACGACATTACATTGTAAAACCCAAACGTATTCTGTGCTAAGATTTAGAAAAACTGAAATATATATTGTGTTGCAGGAAAGCTGAGGGAACACTTTACTGCAGTTATCAATGTCATCTTGAAGTATATTCACTAAAGAAAACATTGTTGTTTCATAGATGATTCTATTTGATTTCCTGAGTTAGTCTAAACGGGAATGTTTAGGAAGTAACTTACAAACATTTTTGAACTATTGTTGTTATTCCTCAAAAGTTCGGCAGTTTCGGATTAGTCTAGTCTAGTTGGATTGTCAATAACTTAGTTACTTTTTCACAACTATCCATAGAAATCCCCAACTAAATAGCTGCCTTTTCTTTTACTTCCTTTGCAGAGTCCGCGTGGCATGCAACCGTGTAGTCCAGCGGGTGTTATTGCAATGATGCCGCCATCCAAGAGCCCCATTATGGAAACCGCAGCCGACAGCAATCAGGCCAATAGCCATGCCAACACAATGACCACAAATGTGACAGCCACCACAACAACAACGTCCAGTGAGCCGAAAGCTAGCAATGCACGGGCGTGTCCTTTGAAATTTTCAATCGCTAAAATTATGGAGCCAGACAATAGAGCTATAGCGGCAACAACAACTACAGCAACAACAACAACAGCAGCAGTGGCAACAAGTTTTGTGGAGGAGTCCGAAGATAATGCCGATGATAATATTGATGCTGATTCGGAGCGCTCCTGCAGCCCCATTGAGGTGGCCAGCGATGTGGTCGAGGTAACTGTCGATGTCAACTACGATTCGGCCTTTAAGAAATATGTGCCCGGCTCGAGCAATGCGCAGAATGCTGTGAACGCCGCTGCCTCTGCCTCCACCACCACCTCCGCCTCAGCCTCTGCGGTGCAACAGTTCGTCAGCACTCGCCATCAGGAGCTGCTCTCGCAATACCCGCTGCTCTATTACGCCCCCAATCAGCTGATGTGTGCCGCTGCCGCTGCGCAGTATGCGGCGCTCACAGCCCAGCAACAGACTCTGGCCAGTGCGGCGCATCTGAGCAGCTTCACCGCCTCCCTGAATGCCAGTCTCCACACCCAGACGGCGCTGCGCCGCAACTTGGCCGCTGTGGCGCCGGGCCATTCGCTGGCAGCTGCTGCAGCCGCCGCCGCAGCCGCTCAGAGCCACCATCCACCGCTGCAGGCAACGCTGGAGAAGTCGCCCATCGGTCAACGCTTGCAGCGCGAGAGCTATGTGGGTCAGCATGCCAGCTTGAAGCGCAAGCGGTCGCCTGCTTCTGCGAGCAACAGTGCTGTTCATGGCGTGGTGACCCCTCCGCCTGCCGCCTCTGCCCTGACTGGCAGCTCCAATGCACGCTCCCGCTCCCGCTCCGTTTCGCCGCACTCGCTGGACGACAGCAGTCCCGGCTCGGCCAATGGGGGCAAGCCCAAGACCTTTAGCTGCCTGGAGTGCGGCAAAGTCTTCAATGCTCACTACAATCTGACGCGTCACATGCCCGTGCACACGGGTGCTCGGCCGTTTGTGTGCAAGGTGTGCGGCAAGGGATTCCGCCAGGCCTCGACGCTGTGTCGCCACAAGATCATACACACCTCGGAGAAGCCGCACAAGTGCCAGACTTGTGGCAAGGCCTTCAATCGCTCCTCCACGCTCAACACCCACGCACGCATCCATGCTGGCTACAAGCCCTTCGTTTGCGAGTACTGTGGCAAGGGCTTCCACCAGAAGGGCAACTACAAGAACCACAAGCTGACCCACAGCGGCGAAAAGGCCTACAAGTGCAACATCTGCAACAAGGCCTTCCACCAGATCTACAATCTAACCTTCCACATGCACACGCACAACGACAAAAAGCCCTACACCTGCCGTGTCTGCGCCAAGGGCTTCTGCCGCAACTTCGATCTCAAGAAGCATATGCGCAAGCTCCACGAACTGGGCGGCGTGGGCCTGGACGATGACCTGGCACCGGCCTACGAGCGCAGGCGGGAGTACACGCGGCGGGAGCCGCTCTCATCACATTCCCCCAGAAGTTATAGCCATGCCAGTCAGCTGACGCCCGACTCCTCCGCCGGCAGTCTGTCGCCGCCCATCAACGTAACCACGCCCCCTCTCTCCAGTGGCGAGGCCAGCAATTCTGGCTGGCACAAGAGCGGCCACTACCAGACCTTGGGCAGTGCGGCTCCACCCTCCTCCGCAGGACATTTTCATCATCTGCAAGCGGCGCCCGCGAGCGCCTTGCACGGTGACTATTCGGCCAGCTCGGCCTTTCTACATTTGGCCAATGCTGCTCACCATCCACTAGGCCAGCCGCAGCAACATCAGCACCACCAACAGCAGCAGCAGCAGCAGCAACAACAACAGCAGCAACGTCTGTCCGCTGCTGCAGCCGTCTCGGCCATGGAAAACGTGCCCTTCATAGCCAAAGTGTTTTGACAGCGATACTATGCCGATAGCTTGGGCAGCAATGGGCTCGTGACGGCGGCCATCACATCGACAACAACAACGACAACTAGCAGGGCTACGACGGTGTCGCCGGTTGCCGGCTGCCGCAACACGCTGCTCATCGATTGACTGCAATTTGTGGCAGCCACGGCGGCTGCCAACTCAGCCGGTCCAGAGTCGCAATTCGAAGCGAAATCGGAGACGGGCCCGCCGGCACCTTTGGGCTCCCCCGAGCTTAGCTGCACCACCTTGGGCTCGGCGGTGCGTGCGCTCAATGGACTCTTCTAGGTCTCGGTCATCCACATCCCACCAAAAGGTTTCACCATTAATATGTGCAATATTTCACCCACAAGAGTACTTTTGCTTAACCACCCAAAGACATTTTGGGGTTCCTACTTAGGCAACAAGGATAAAATCGATAATCGAGCGTTTATAATTCTATGGATGTTTAGTGGAGCTTCTTGATATCTTAAAATATGGTTTTAATTTCTTAAAGGCCTCCTCGAAAAAGTAACATTCATGCTACTTATCTTGGAATATTTATGTTTTATAAAATGTGTAAATGTTCACAAAGATCCCTCTTATGTAGCACATGCTTTGCTATATCCGTCGATATAGAATTGCATAAGCTGAGACTATCGACTTATCGATCTTATCAACCCTTCAACCACCCGCTTAGTCATATCACTTAACCTAAATAATAACCTTAAATAACTTGCGTGTGATTCTCAAAAAGCGAATTTATCTGCATATACGATAATTCTCATCTATTTGTAAATCTTTGTTTTAAAACTGTATATATTATTAGGCCTTGTTCCATGTATGCTATTCACTAGATGTTGGTTTAATCAGATCTATATTTATAACTGTAGCTAAGCATAAATGTATGTGTAAATCTCATAGCTGGCGTATTTATAACGATTATATAATGGAACACCGTAGTTAGTGCTAAATGTTCGGCCCCGCAGTCCTGCATGTGCGCCATAAACATATACTATACTTATTTACAGTATATGTATGTATCTTTTAGTGTTAAACGTGAACGCATCGAGAATTGTGTGTTTGTGTTTCAAGAAATCGAAGGGATTTACAAAAAACTCAAATCATATCTAGCTCGTACAGCTAGCTGGTAGTCTAATTCAAGACAAATTTTGAAAATGCATCATTGAAATTGTTTAGCACTTAAGTGATATTATTGATAATGTTTAAGCAATAAATCAATTCTTCAATTATAGTTGCAATCAAGTGTGTACTCATATTTTGGGATGGAAACGCTTTTCAGGAAGCTGAGGAAGCTGACACAACTCAGCTCAACAATCTGAATATATTTAAACAAACCAATCGCCGATTTTGTGATGATTATGGTTTCAGAAAACTTTAGCTGATGGCGAAGAAATAATCTGTAATAAGTCTTTTCTACGGCGCTGCTAAATACCATCAATCGTCGAGAAAGTGTTAAATAGAAATTTGACAAACTATTTGAATATTAACAACAAATCTGAAGATCTTAAAATGTGGTCAATATATCTAATGTTAAAATGCGAAGATTCCAACAGAAAGTAGTGGGGCCAATTTTCAAAGCTCTTGTTAGCAAGTTTTTGATTTAAAAGAATCATATATAAATAAACAGTCATTGAAACTGAGTTGGGACTGCATTTACACAGAGCTTTACAAATGTGATAAAATTATGTTTAAAACGGTTGAAATGTTTTCTGTCTCTCTAGCCATAATTCTATTTTGAAGAACTTATGTCTAGACTTAAAGCGGTATGACTAATTAATCAAAACAATGGCAACATATACGTATACATATTTTGTTTGTTTCTTTATAACGGAGAATCCTCCGACTTCGCCCATTCCTTCCTGACTCTTGGTGGTGTCTACTCATATGCAAATAACTGAGCAACTCAGTTAGGGACGCCCATGGCAGGAGCTGCAATTTAAAAATGCAAATGGATGCGTCGTTTTCTAATGAAAACAATTATTGCTGCATTACGTAAGAGGTGCTTTAATGGGCTCTAAACCGTCAGCACTTAAGCGAGCTTCAGCCAAGAAAACGACAGCATATTTGCAACTTAATTAGTGGCAAGCATACAGAGTTGGTGGCAGCATGCGAGTGGGAAGAACCATGCGGAGAGCACACTTGGTGACTGTCCACTCAGAACAGAGCAGCGCCTGGAATTTGCATATCGCTTTGATCTGCTTGGAAAAGGCGGCACAAATGTGAATGGATGGGTGGGTGGATGAATGGTTGGTAAGTTCGTGTTCCCACTTAAGGTTGCTCATAAAAATGCAACTGAAGCTCTGCCAAAGAAGGCCTAAAAACTTACCTCGAAAAGTGCAGCCGCAGCAGCCAAAGAATTCTGTGCGCTTCAATTAGTAGAGCAGAAAAGACAGGCATTCGCATTCGTATTCGCATGTGTTGCCACTTCAGTTGACATTTTCTCTCTCTCTCTCTCTCTCTCTCTCTCTCTCTGTCTCTCTCTCTGTGACTCTCATCATCGAGCGCATATGAATAATTCAAACGAAATCAAATCAAAATGGAACGCAAAAGCGAAATCAAACAGCAATGCTTTATGCAAATATGCAGTACTCTGTACCCACATGCGGGGCTCGGCATATGCTGAAGCACACCGCCCACTGGCAGATGCCGGCATCGGCTCATCCACTGCCGTCTCCCCCGCTACCCCGCTACCCCTCTACCCACTGGTGTTGACAGTTTTGCTCGAGCAGAAGAGATCAACTCGTCATGCAAAAATGAAAAGCTTGTGCCCAATATTTCATTCCCTTCTCATTTTTGTATACTCTGCAAGAACGGGTCTGCTTGCTGCACAAATCAACAATAAATCTCAGCAAAAAGGTGTACTTATTGTATTTAATTAGTTATGCGTCGGTAATAAATACAAATTGTGCGAAATAAATGTCAGTAAGCACGCAGTCATACAAGTATGTATGTATAACAGTTCATGTTATTTGATTCTCTTAAAACGTATGCTATGCAGCTCTCTTGCATGCATAGTATAACAGTTTTATAACATGCCCACTTATAACTGTGTACGAACGAGTTGAAGCGCCCCGTCAAAAAAAAAGAGAGTGCGTAAGAGAGCGGTTGTTGGGCGCATAGGGATCTGTGAGCAACAGATTTCTCTTGAAAGTTTGCTAGACAGAGGAGAAAGCAATGAAGAAGCCACTTTTTTTTATGACTCCTATAAAACTGCATATTTGTACAATAAATATTAAGATAGAGTATTCCAGAATCGGTTATGGGCTACATTACCATTCTACTCGTAGTTGTTGTTGTTGTATTTTTTGGGATGACTTTTGACACCGCCTCGCGGCATCGCTTTTGAACCCACATGAATGCGAACGATGATTTCTATCACTTGGCATTACAATAATGAAGTCCAACCCCCCATTGTTGCGGCAGCTAAGCGTGAGAGCCTGAATGGTTCTTCACTTGTTGTCATGTCCGCTGAATTGGATGCCGATTCCTTTTGATGTTTGCCTTACGCACGCCCAACCGACCAGTTGAGTGGCTGTGGCCCGCCGTGTCCTGACAGTGCCTCCGACTTCCACTTCCACTTCCATTACCACTTCGCATTCCGTTCTGTTCTGTTCTGTTCTGTTGACACAAAACTGACTGACTTATTTGGCTAATTGAAGCCCATGGTGTATGCATATAGCACTTCTATTCCAACTACCCATTCATTCATTGCTGATTTGCAGCGATAATTCGGTCCCTGCTCTACGATTCGCTTATGCGTGACAACAAGTCGTCACTCAATAAAGCGTTTCTTTTTCACAAGTGCTCCGCCGATGGCATTAATTAGGCTAATTAATCTCATTGATACGCGTTAATGAAAGTTAGTCGCGAATTGGTGTTAAGTGTTAAACGTGCAATCAGTTATTGGGTTCATGGCTTGGCGTTGAAATCTTTTTTTGGCTGCAATAAAAAGCAACTACAGTTTTTAATGATTATTATTAGTTCTGCTGCCTTGAAATTAGAAGTATTTCTAAAGCTTCGACTCGATAAATAGAGCAGCAAAAGTTACCTTTTTGGAATGGTATTAAAAAGTTTCCTATAAACGATGTGTGTCTAAGTATTGCATTGAAAAATATTAGAGATATAAATAAAGAAAACGTGGTATTTGCAGCCTCTTAAGCAATTTTTTAAGTATAATAATAATTTTAGAGCTTAAGCCTCAAAGCAAGAATATGATTCTGAGAAAAAGTATTGCAATTTTAAGAAACACTTTATATAGATTTGATGCCGGCCTATATACAAATCATGCCAATTCTTAGACAATAAGTTTCTAATTATTACTCATACTATGAATGACTTTTTGATTTAAAAAAAACGTGATTTGATTTCGGACTTTTAGAGCGTGACTTGCCTTTTCACTTTTCTGAGTAGCGTTTCAGTTGCTTACGAAAAGTTTTTAACGTTTTTGAGGCGTTAATGAAATACCATTAGGCCTTAAATAAAGCATACTTTTCGGAGTCGAGAGGGAGCGTGAGAGAAAAGTACAAATATTCTTCATCAGCATGATGAGACAATCGTGGACATGGCCGTCCGCCTGACTGTCTGGATGGATGAACGTCTAAATTTCGGAATGTGTTAATTCCACATTGAATACGCTTTGTATGTAGACTCTCCTAATCCCAAAGCAACACGAGTTTTATTTAGTTTTTCTTCAGCTAAGTTAACAAACTTGTTATATAAAGAAAATGCCGCATTAGTTACACCATCGACTGAAGCCCATTGTCCTGGCTTTCCAGTTCAACGCCAGCAGCAGGCCTGCTATTTTCGCCTCACATATCGTACATACCTCATTCTCTGGTTATACAATGAACAGATATTATTGGACATTTAGTCAATGGGGGCACAGGGCCTTATACATAAATAAATATCAAATACGAGTACATTGTGTTTTTCTTATTATTAACCATACTCGTTTATGTCCACAAATTGTTTATGGCAGATAAACAATTCAGTTGGCGCCATATTTACGGCCAAGTTGTCTGCCATTTTTGCATATCAATAACTCTTATCGCGCGCAATCTGTGCCACGTCGACACAATAGTGGAAAAATAGAAATAAAAAATACAATATCGACAGCTCGAGCACGAAACAATAACAACAACAACAACGAGAAGAACAAGAACAAGGACAAAAAAGTGTCTCATTCAGCGAGGATGGTTAAACACTTTACGCTTACAAATTATAATCCAATTCCATTGTTTAACATGAACCGCAACAAGAGCGAGATGGAAGAAAGATTGGAAGAAATATTGCATGCGCTTATCACCTACACCCCGAGGGCAATGGCAACAATGGCCAGCATCCAGCAGATAGAAAGTCGAGGACAAGCCCCGCCAACCCCTCGCACAGTCGCACAGTCGAGCGTAAATTGCAGCGTAATCTCTTCCGGATATGATTACGTTCTTAAGTGATCTCAGACAGCTGAACGCTTCTGAACGGTGCTGAACTGTGATTTTATTCTTCTTGCCACATTGTTTGGCCCCGTTAGCGCGGCATCGGCTTAATGCTGCCGCACTTTGCGCGCTTGTGACCTATCAGCTTTGTATCTGAGCATCTGAGCATCTGAGTGCTCGTACAAGTATGTGGGTATCTATCTAGCTGTTGGCAGCGCAATATGCTGTGATTATAATTTTTTAAAAAGCTAAAGCTGCATTTTCTTTTCAATTATACATTGCACGAGCCTTGGAGTGGTGCGTTCGTAGCAAAAGAACGTCTTAGGTTATGGGTAAGTGTATCTTTTGGTGTCCCAACAATGCCGACGCGAACACTTAACGCTGCGGGATGGGCACAATCGGCAGCGCAGGCGTTGACAGGCTCGAGCGGCATATTGTCAACTTGTTGTCTGTAATTGTGCCGTTAATTGTGAGGTGACGACCCTTCACCTATGTACGCTGCAATAGATGGCATTATGTCATGTGTATGAGTGTGTCTGTGTGTGTGTGTGTGTGTGTGTCATTAAAACCGGCTTTTATAGTTCCGTTTGGCAACGCCTGCCTGCTAACAATCCGACAGTGCACGGCAACAAAATAAGGATGTAAAATATTTCCCCAGAGTTATTTGTAGGCTGGGGAGGGGGAAAGGGAGGAGAGGCCTGGTGGAAAATATAAGTATATATGCATACAAATCCAACAACATATATTGGTAGCTAGACCTTGCTGAGCTCTTCTTCTTCTGCTTCTGAAAACAGTTGATATTCTTTCAAAGATTTGTTGCATGTTCTGAATGCGCGCAGCTAGAAGGTGTATATACAACTATATTATATTATGAATATTCCCAGCGATAAACTATATAAATATTAACCTAATTAACTTTATAAAACTTATTTCCAAGATAAATATAAGCCTTTAAATGATTGATAAAAACAAGTTTGCTCTGGCTATACTTGTATATACAAATATATTTTATTTCTTTTAAGTTACAAATACAAAAATAAAATAATATTTTCAATATATCGCACATCACAAGTTTTCCTTCTCTGTTTCCATAACCTCACTATACGCTTATACTTGTATAATTAAAAATTAATATCAAAAAGCGGAAGTTGTGAAGCGTTTAAAAGAAATAGAAACAGATTTATCGCCAAACAAGTTGAACCGAAATGTTTTAAAGTTTGATATTCTTCAGAAGATGTTCAGATGCTTAAGCAGAAAGTTGACTATATTCTGCATATATTTATATATATTCTGTATATAACAACTTCCTGCTATCTGAATGGCTTCACAATTTCCGGCGAGTGTAGCAGCACGCATGAGAACGAGAAAGTTGACTATATTCTGCATATATATATATATTCTGTATATAACATCTTCCTGCTATCTGAAGAACGCATGAGAAGGCCCGTTGGAATGAATGTTGTTGAATGGCGGGCGCAGAGCTTAAGCGTCTTTTTACCACAGAAAAGTACGGCAAGTGAAACTAATTAATGGAATGCGACAGCAAAACAACGCGCAATGTTGCAAAAGGCCGACCAACCAAATACTATATGTACTCTCTATATATATGCAGGAGTATATTCGTTCGTTTGCCACACTCGTGCACTTCATTTTAATGAAGACGCGCATCAATGCCTACAAATATGCAATACTTTTTTGTAAGAACACAAAAGCCATCTCTGTTTATATGTACATGGGTACTAAGTATGTATGTGTGTGTGTGTGTGAGGAATCAGAAAATAGAATGCCGGGTCACGTTATGAGTATTTACAACATATATTCATAGCTTGTGAAGCAGCACAAACGGGCAGCGGGGCGACGTTTTTGTCTGCGACCTGTGCTCAGGTGTGAATAAGCGTGTAAGAAGTTGCCATAAAGCCTCTCGCCAGTGACAACTATGATCTGACACGACAATGGCCACAAAGCAATGGCGACGACTCCGCCTGGGTCTGGGCCCGGGCCCGGGCCCGGGTCTGGGCTTCGGCTGCATTGGAGTCCGCTGAACCGCACTAATTGAGCCGCGTTACGTCGAGTTGAATGCTTTTGAATGTGGTTGCCAAGCGGCAGGCCATCCATACATTGTCATCATTTGAATCTAGCCGAGCGGGTTGCTCGACAACACTGGACGTGTGAAATCCGCCAAATGCTGGCCACAGCTGCATTCATAATTATTCAGACTATGTCCTTCCCATATACTAAGTATAATTGTGTAACTACATGAGTTTATTATTATCTTTACACACATGTAGGCCAGTTAACAAATTTCAGTTCTACAACTGACGAAAAAAGAACTAAACCCCTCCATAATGGCACGAAAAAAGATCAAATTAAGATCGGCCAGTCTTACAAAACGAGCCGCTAAGCGACAGAAATTGACATTTGCGAAGCACCTCTGCGGAATTTTGGTGGTATGGCATAAGATATAGCTTTGATCTCGTTGGGTTTATCTCGCAGCTTTAGATAATCGTCTCCTGCTCCACAGTGGCGACGTTGGTGTTGTATGAAGACGCTGGCATTTGGCTGCTGAGGCACCGCTGGATCCTTTTCTTGTTCCTGGCGGGCAACATAGTGGTTTGGCTTGTATTGGTTGTCTGGCCAAAGCTGTCAGGCATACTGCCCTTTAGTCGCATGTGCGCCATATCTAGAAGCTTCTGTGCAGCCAATCTTTCGGAAGGGTATTCACCCGTTTACGTGCTGAACGCCCTGCTCACAACGTCTGCTGTCATTTCGATTTTGGCAACATTCGCCGCCTTTGCGCCCTACGATGTTACCAGATGTGGTCGCTCCTTTGGCTTTATATTGATTGGGTTTCTCATAATAAATGCTGTGGGAATTCTCATGCCATATCGCCCCATGATGTGGATAATAGCTTCTGCTGGCATTATTGTATTCGCTCTGATGCTCGTTCTCGACTTACAACTGCTGGTTGGCAATAATTGGAATTACTCGATTGCGGACTCTGCTATTGCCGCGCTCGGCGTCTACATCGATATTATGGCAATGTTTCAAACTATTTTGGCATTTTGTGGTCTGATTGAAGATTGAAATCAATACAATATATCAATACTCTACAAATATTGATACAATATCAACACAATATATCAATATTTGAAGAGTATTTAAACTGCATGCTGGCAGTGCTGTTGCAGCTTAAGAACAGCATTGCCAACAACCAGCAAAGATTCGGACTTACAAAGATATTATTGGAGATTGAGAAATTAAAACAACAATTAAAAGTAAAATATGTAGTAAATGCGATAAAGAGTTTGTATATGCTGCTTCTTTTATTTACATATTGCCTCAATGCAATGGGATTGAGGTTAGAATGCGGAAAAGTGTCAACTGTACAGTTGAAATGCAACACAACTGAGTTTAAGAGTATATAGCCGAATAGCTCTCCAAGTTCCAAAGTCGAGCTCTTCATTCAGTGTGTCTAACACATGTAGGCTTCAGCTTTGATGTCATATTTATTTACATTCCTACACAAAAATATACATTCGCACAAAATACAAGTGCAGGACTCGACAGCAACCAGTTGGAACAATGCCGCGCCGTGAACGAGATAACTTCGGAGAGGAATGGGACGATGATTACACCAGGCGGGCTTTCATCACGAAAGTCCTATCAATAGTAGGCGTAAGTTAAGGCAGCTTCCTTTATGTAGTATTACGATCTTGTTTAATCACCACTGTAACTTTCAGCTTCAGTTGGCTTTCACGGCAGCCGTTGTGGCTGTTTTCACGTTGGTGGAGCCAGCCCAAAATTTTCTGATTAAGTATTTTTGGTTGGTTTTCGTATGTATGGGGGTTATGTTTATAACTATGATTGCGTTGGTCTGTTGCATTAAGGTTGCTAGATCCGTCCCCTGTAACTATATACTGCTCATCATATTCACCATTGCTAGTGCGATTGTTACATCGTATACGGCCTTACGATTTGCTCCGATTCAGGTGCTGACGGCATTGGGCGCGACTATCGTTGTGGTGATCTTTTTGGGCTTATTCGCTGCCTTTGCGCCCTGTGATTTTACAGGCTGTGGCTTACTCATATGTGTCCTTGTGATGGGATTATTTGTAATGTGCATAGTTGGAATTTTTGTTAGGACCCGCACTATGATGTGGATCATAGCTGTCGCTGGAGTTATAATATTCTCTCTGGTACTCATTTTCGACTTACAACTCATGATAGGCGGTAAGCATAAGAATCAATATTCGGAAGAAGACTATGTTATTGCCGCGCTCAGCATTTATGTGGATATTATTATGTTGTTTCAATATATCCTGGAGATAATCGGCTTGATTGATGGATGACAAACGATACCAAATCGTGATGTGTTCGAGTCAAATAAAACAAGTTAAATAAATAGCAAAAAAAATTTAGTTAAGAAAGAATACCAATTCAAGCAGGGAAAGATAAAGCTTTCAAAACTTAATAAATCAAGATCCATTTCCAGCAGTATTAAGATGAGAATCAATATGTGCCTGAATAAAAAATGCTTTAGGGAGAAAACTTATAAACACCTACATAAAATATAATTAGAATTTCGAACATTAATACCATTCATTATTTGAGATCTTCAGGTGAAGATTAAAATTGATAGAACCAGATCAATGTTCAAACAATAAACTTTCTGTTTTCGAAGGCGAAAGTAGGATCGATATTAAGATTTAGTAGAGGCTTAAATATAATTAATCAGTTGATTTAAAATTAGATGAGAAGTGTTCCAGATGACTAAATTGGATCTGAAGTCTTATTGGAAGCTTACATACTATCATCTTTTAAAAGATATATATTAAAATTGATTAAATTAAAGAATTAAAGACCAGTTGCTTAAAAGTTAAAGTTCTTTATTCTCGACCAAGCACTGTACTCGTAAAATTAACTTTTACTTCAAGTTTAAACACAATCGCCTTAGAGATTTAGACTTCAGTTTGAGATATGAGCGTGAACATTTCACATCAGATTAAAAAATAGACTATATATTTGTAAATTGAAGAACTTAGCGATGTGTGAGGTACAGAAGCTGCTCGACGAACTCTGTCAGACCTTCACGAAGTTCAAGGAGATGAGGCGGACCGAGATGATCAATGTGTTGAATCAGGTGCGGTGCTGCGAGTGCGGCCACAAGATGCGTCTACAGAATGCCAGGCATCTACGAGGTGCGTCGCTGACAATAAAGCTGGTGCTGAGCTGCTTCAGTTTTCTGCTGCTGCTGGCCCTCTATATGGTGTATGTGGCCCGGCGTTATAATCATGTGCGGACCTACGGCAGCAGTGCCTGTGTCTCAACCTTCTTCTACACCTACACGGATTGTGATGTGTTCTTTTAGTGCCGATTGATCTGCCATATTTATATTTATATTTTGTATTAAATACGACTGTTGCGACTGAGACAGTCTGTCTGTGTGTAGCTTGCTTTAACCGCACGGCTGTTGTTTACTGCTCTCCACAGCTCTGCCACCCACCCCCACAGATACACATGCATGTGGCATGCCACCCTTTTATCGGTCATGCCCAGTGCGAACGGTGTGCGTCATTATGACGTTTCTGGGTCCCCTGGTCGCCTGGTCTGGCCTGGTCAGGATAGGGCGTGACTGGCATTGGCAGCTTATTGAAAATATTTCATGCGCAACTTTTTGTCTTGCTCTATGATTGGGCGCTGCCATAAATTATTCATAAACGCGTATGTGTGTGTGTGTGTGTTTGTCTGAGTGAGAGAGGGCAACAATATAAAGACAATTTCGTCCGATAAACATACATACATATGTACCCACTAGCTTAGTTCGAATGTATGTAATACAAGGAAGCTAGCTTTTACCGTTTGGGCAATGCGTTGTGATCGCCAATCATCTAATAAAAACAAGTGGAGAAGCTAGAGTCGGGTGTCCCGTCTATGAAATACTCTGCACATATTTTACATACATTTTACCCTTTGGGTACAGGTTATAATAAAACAGGCTATAATAAATAAAGTTCTAAGAGCGCACATGTCTATGAGCGTCAGATATTGCATTTATGACTATAACCATTAATCGTAATTTTTGTAATTGTGCAAAAACCGCAGTCGTCTCGACTTGCCAATTATTTATTAAGTATAACTGTGTCTTTCATGCTTAATTGCTCTCTTGCTTTTCTGATTGATCTAACTGCGCTCTCTTGATCCTTTGCTCAAGTTGGGGCGCTCGACCAACGAAACTCCAACTTGTTGGTATGAATTCATATAACAGATTCAACACATAAATGTAGGCATGTTAGCAATCTGTTATACAACACATTCGGCAAGTTCTGTAAATTGAGTTTTTTCTTTCTGTTATGTTATGGTGACATTTTGTCTGCTAATTTAAAGGCCACTGTGGGTGAGGCATATTTATACGTGAACATACATATATAAATAAATACAAATATAAATCACTGCATACTTACATTTACATGCAGGTTAATTGCGATCGCACCTTTACTTATTTTTAATCACATTTACAAACACTTGAAAAAAAATAAAAATAAAAATAATGCACTGCGCAATTTATTAGAAATCACGAACACACACATACACATATACATTTACTTGGCGCATTTATCGCGCGGCATTTTCGCATTAACATATATACATACATATTTTGCACACTTCACACACAACTTAATATTTACATATGCTTTTTACATCATTTTTGTAATATTTAAACTATTAATTAAACATTTTCTCAGAGTTGTCGGCAACTCCAAATACAAACGGCGCGACGCGGTCAACAGGTCGAGAAAAACTAAGCTTTGCATTGCAGCTGCAAGCAGAATGCTCTCTTTAAGAACGTAAAAGTGAAGGCAAAGAATCAAAAATCATAACTGTAAATCCGCTCACGCGCCTACCATACATGCATACATACATACATATGTGCGTATTTCGTTTCATGCTACATTTTCTCATATGAAATTGTTGGTTGATCATTTGTAAATTTTTAACAAATTACTTTAATTAAATTTATTAAAGAACCAAGGGAAATTCTCAGAATTACGAGAGTTTTGGAAAATCCCTAATTGCAAAATGTTGGTACGTTAGCTTTTTTGGCGTCCAAAACTTGCTCAAAATCTGCTTTTTCCGTTCTTTAGTTATAACATAAAAGCATAAAATATTTAATTTCTAAGACCAGACAACCTAGTGGACTGGTATTCCCATGGTTCTAACTAAATCGTATAAAAGTTTCTCTGAAAAATAAACAGCATTAATTAAAATTAATTGAAAAAAATTAATTAAATCCTTTTTAGTTAATCTTTTCTTGAGCGGAAACTGTGTCGAAGGGCTTGCATTTGCAAAAGTTCCAACAGAATTGAAAATCCAAATGATAATATTTGGACTACATATTGCGGCAGTTATGATGATTTTCTCGGATATGGACAGCAGTTTTATACAATAGTGAGAGAGAGAGAAAGAGAGAGAGTTTGGTTAAGAGAAAGATGATTATCATCCAACATTTTGCGCAGCATAGTCAGTTGTGCATCTAAATTGATTTTGTTTTCTCATTTCTTAATCATAGAATTAATTTTCATTGAATATATTATAGACTATCACGAGTCAGTCAGTCAGGACACAATATCTTATACACATATAAAGATATACCCTAACATAAATAAATTTTTAGGATGCTAAAGGGAGAGATGGTTGCTAGATTTTGTTGGTGTTCGCCAAACGATTGCCAAGCCAAGTGTTGGCAACATTTTCTGCAGCTACTACAGCGATGAGTTGCCACAACGCTTGCATAACCCCATTTACGAATTAAGAGCCCAAGTTCCTCCCTGGTTCAATATTGATACAAGTTAATTGAAGACCAACCCCAATGGGGCAACTAAACCGGCCAAGTATCGATGGCCATCGTGCTCGCTGGAGGGGTTGGTTGGGCTGCGGGGGTAAGGTTCAACGATAAACTGAACAGCGCAAGGCACTTTTGCCTGCTCGTTCGACTAAAATTGCAACACAATGCTTACACACACACACACACACACACACCAACATACACACCTACACACATGCCCAACAATAGCTTTGTGCAGTGGGTGGCAAATATGGTTGGGGGGTGGGCGGCGGTCATGTTGAAAAGTTTAAATCGAGCCCTCATGCCAATCTAACTTTGCTTTTTTCGATATCACTTACATCACCCACTGGGCTGAACTGTGCTGGTCAGTTTTTTATTGGTCTGGACTCGACTTGATTGCTTCCATGTGGATGGATATTTTCATTGTTATATACATACATACATATACTTAACTCAAGCAGAGTCCTTACAAAAAAATTATATGGGGGACAAGGCGTTTCGCGAAAGTTTCCGATTCCACTATTAAAAGGAAGCTCCCTCAAAGCTTTGTTTAGCTAAGGGTTTACTTTTAAAAATTATTATTCTATTGCAGTTATTTCTTCAACGTAGGAGCGTTGTTTTCCCCAAAAACAGAACAAATTTACAGAAGAAGTCCGGTAATTCTATTTTGCTTTAAATAAAAACCTAAGCTATGGAATATTTAATACAATAATAATTATTGCGATTACAAAAAAAAAAAAAAACGTTCTATATTACACTCCTAAATCGTATAATTCAAAGATTCTAAAATTCAAGGCATTCAATAGCAGAAACAAAGAGCAAAAGTTGAAAAATTGCATAGGCAAAGATTATATTTATGACTATAAGCTCGTTTGTAATTGAGTCCTTTGGTCCATAGATTGGTAGAGATTTTTTATATGCTTTCGTATAAGAAGGCGCTAGCAACCCAGTCTCTGCTCTTTTGCAATCATCTGTTACACTTCTGTTCTTTCTTTTAGTCTCAGAAAGCGAATCAGTTGGGGGTATATCTGGCTGGCATCCCAATATATTTTCCGGTTAGTTTAAAATATTAACTTTAAAAACGTATGTGGACATTTTTAAATATCCATATCATCCATGACATCATCTCTTCATACCCTCTACTTAGGTATTTAAATTCTTGTTTTGGTTGATAATTGTTGAACTATTTTTATTACACTTTTCTTTTTTTGCTGTGCTGCTCAAAAATTGTACAATTTGTAGTTATGTTTGGGGATTAGTTTTAGTTAGTTTTAAGTGTTGTTTTATTTGGTTTTTATTTTGGCCGTTACCCATCTAAGAATATGGAATATTCGAATAGATATATACTATATACAGAATACAGCTGTTGGCATATGTCGCGCATATGCCAGAGATGTGTGGTAGCAGTTAATGGGTTTTGTTTTCAACTTGGCAGCCAAATAAATAGGGACTATTTGGCTGGAAGTTGGCGATTGGCTTTGAAAAGAAACAAGCGTGTTTAATATTTTCAAAAATTATGCATTATGTATTATTGTTATTGGTTTTTAATTAGTTGTTGTTTTGTTTTAGTTTAAATTGAAATAGCATAATGGTTGTTTTTCTAATTTAAGTTAAATTTAATACATTTCAGTTAGTTGTAAATTATTGTTATGTAAATTTAAGGACTAATACAAATTAGACAAGCTTTATATATGTATAATTGTCGTAAATACAAATATAATAATTAACTATTCAATTAAACATTAAGTGCTTCGGAGAAAGACGTACTTCTGCGCCACATTCCAAAATATTTTTTAGGCACAAGTAAGGAAATAGAGACACACCATTTATCAACATTTTCTTCTTTCTTTTTGCCATTAATAAGCACTTATATGTTGTTTGTTGTTAAATATAATGTGAGTATACATACATATAGATAAATATACATATATGGATTGGAATTTTCAATTTGACACAAGAGCGCTTCAAAAGTTGCTAAAAATGTTTGCCATCGTACATTTTGACTAATTATCGGGAAACAAATGAACAAAGGCATTAACTAAGCGCACTTTACAATAAAGTCGGGAGCTCTTACACTCAACGTAACAATCGACACCGTTATGTGCCTTAGAACTCAAATAACACTTAACATATACACATAATTGTAGAAATTGTTGTTGCTTCTCACATTCACAATTGGTTTAAAAACTAAATTATATTTAAGCTAAGCAATCCATTTCTTCAAATTTCTTCAAATGAATGCAAACAAAATGCACGCGCACGAAAAAAAAATCAAACTCTTCACAATCAACACATTTCACATATGAGCTACGAACTTAGCTAAACACTTAACATAACAATATAGTAATAATAATAGATAATTATAATATTAATAATAATAATGGGGTTTTAATTGTAGTTAGTATTAATGCATATTAATTACAATAAGAGTTTAGTGTTTGTTTATTGAATTGTTATTATTTGTTAGGGTTGGTGTTTCCTCCATTGCCTTTTGTTGTGGTTGCATTTTCAAATTGTTTAATAAATATTAGTTCCCCCCATTTAGTTGCCATTATTGCTTAGACTAAGCGCTACACACTAGGAGTTATTCTCACAGTCATCGGGTTTGTGCTTCGTGCGTAAATTGCTCAAAAGATCGGCACAGTTATTGACCATCATCAGATAGTCGCCATTATCAAGATTGTTGCTTGTCGCTCCTGTTCCTGTTGTTCCTGTTGATGTTGTTGTTGCTGTCGTTTGTTCATTGACGCCATAAACGCCGCCATGCATGTTTGTTTGATTTGTAAGCGTCTTTTCGTTTGGCCTGCAATTGACAAAAATTTGTTTAATTAGGCTCCATGTAGAAACAAACTTCCAAAACGAACTTCAAGAAATAAATGAAGTTTTCTTTAAAAGTATTAACTATTGTACGTTTTTCTAACTTATTTTTGAATAGAAAGAGACTTAGTCTCCGCTTACGCTAATCTTCTTCCAGAAAGATCAAAGCCTACTTTGAGGAGAATTAATTGAACAAACTTTATTTAATTTGAGTCTTTGCAAATACCGGTATCTTATTATGTATGTTGCACGAGTACATTAGAGATGATTAATTAACTCTAATATATCTTCAACTTTCTTTTGTACTTACAATTCGCTAAAGAGCAGAAGATGATTTCATCTGCACAACAAAAGCCTCGAAGCATAGAATGAATTGAACAAACTATATTTAATTTAAATCTTTCGCAAAGACCGGGTTCTTATTAATAACAGAACCGAAACTCGATAATAGAGATGATTAATAAACTTTAAGATATCTCAAACTTTCTCGTGTATTCAATTACAATTACAGTTCATTAAAGAACAGGAGATGATTTATTCTGCACAACAAAAGCTTATTTCGACGATCTTGTAGAAAACTAATTTATGAAAGGTTCATCAATAATTTGAAGACTGCTGTCTTTTGTTGATTCTTTAGATTAGACCAGCTTCGTTTAGCTTTAACATATCTTTAGCTTTCTTATACATTTGCAATTCACAGATTATACATAGACTGTGTATAGCTTTACCGATTTTGTGTTATGCTGCCGAGCATATTGCGCGACATAATCACAGCGTTCTCCAGTTCCTTCAAAAGCAGCGAATTCTTCAGATTGGCATGCAGTTGCATCGCCGTTTGTGTTGTTGTATACAATTTATTTATGACATTGTGAACCTGCGCCTCAGCTGTGGAAATGGGAATATAAGTTTACGAATTGGCAATCGTTCTGTATTTATTGAAGTAATACTGCGAACTTACGATCTGGACCCTCGTACTCCAAAGTTTCCAACGCACCACGTTGCTTGACCGCATTGGGGCTGTTGCTGTGATTTAGAAGCTTGCTCTTGTGATCAAAGCCCAAGTTTCTGGGTCTGGGCGGTACAATGGGCTTATTGTTGCTGGTACTATTGGGTGTTTCCTCCGAACTGGAGTCGTCTTGCAGCGTAGCTGTTGTTCAGATTTATGGTAATACATTTTAATAAATTACATTCAATTTATAATACATACCGTTGCTAAAATTGGGACCCTTGCGACGATTATTGTTGACATTGTTTGCTTTGTTGCCGTATTGACGATTGGCAGCTGAAATGTAACGAAATTATATGTATTAAGAGCCGATTTGAAATAGATTATCGCTTGTCTTACCAATGGGTCCATTGCTACGACTTTGTCCGTTAGTGGCATTGCGCAAACGATTGTTATCCTCCGGTTCGGAGTCGCTCTGTGAAAAGATCGGATCAGTAGAGTCTTACTGCTTTACTTGCTGGTTCTCTACTTACGCCTTGGTTGAGCACATTCATGGAATTACTGGAGGCGCCCAATAGACCACTGCCCAGAGATTTGCCCTGCAAGCTGTTCCTCTTACTGGCGGATCGTGTGGCACTGCTGTTGCGATGCTGCACTGACGGTTTCTGCAACTGATTGCTGCTAGATTTGCTTGCTGCTGGGAAACAAATATTCTCATTAATACTAGTTGTGATTGAATAGAGAGAGAGAGAGAATTGTTGACACTTACGTTTACCAAAGTTTCCCATATGCAGATCACTTAGTGAGCAGGCCCGACGTATGGATGATTCCTCAATGGGCATGGGGTTGAGGGCTTTGGGATTGCCTGAAAACATTGAACAACAACAAAGAGCAGACATGAGAATTGCGAGTAGAGTGGCGAGCAGGGAGTGGTGCTCTTGAGCAGATGTTGTTGTGCTTAAAACCCAAGCTTAGGTTATCAAATAAGAGAACTAAAGAGCCAAAAAATGGGTGCATCATATTGAAAAGATAAGTTAATGAAGTGTCTGGAAAACTAAAAAGTTGATACGATTCGATGGGCATGTTCTAAGTAGTTGTGTGTGTAGACGTGTGTAGACAACAGCAACGCACTCAAACCTTGTAGATCATCCTCAATATCATTGTCATCATCTTCATCATCATCTTCATCAGCATCATTGCCGTTAACTGCGCCAAACTCATCATCATCGGCTTTCACCTCCTTGGCCAATTCCACATTGTGGTGCAGATGATGATGATGATGCTGCTGATGATGGTAGGCGGAAAAATCGGCACTTTCGAGCACATCCGGTAAACTACAATTGCGTCTAATATGACGCGCATAGGCGCACAAATCGGCATCGTTGCCATCACTGCCCTGGAACTGTGCCTGTGCCTGCTCCTGTTCCAATTCCGCCTCGCGCTCCATACCCTTGGCCAGCATATCAAAATTCATCGTCAGACTCTTGACGTAACCTTTTTGCTTGGAATTGCAAGCAAAGGGACGCAGACGAGTCTCGGTGGCCAAACGAATCTGTTCCATTTTACGCTCCTCCATGGCAATCAGCTTCTCGATTATATCTATTTTTTTGGCTATATTTTGACACTGATGAGTGGTGGAATTGTTTTGGACACTACGTTCCACATTCGCTAGATTTTTCTTATGCTTGGCGCGCTCCTGCTGTATTTCGTCGACGACAGATTGCAGTTCGGGCTTCGTGTATAGCTTCAGACTGTCCATATTCATGTTTTCCCCGGCGTTGCCATTTTCCGAGAAATACATTTCGAAGGTACGTTCCCCGCCATAATCGCTGGGCAGGCTGCCCACTATGGGCTCGGGTGAGGGTTCGAATTCGGGCTCGAATTCTGTGTCGGCCTCATTGCTGTTGATGTCGTTCAGTGGTCGGGTGGTTGTGGTTGCGGTTGCGGCACCACCGCCAGCCACACGCTTCGCACTGGGCGTGTATTTGATTTGCGAGACGGTGTTGAAGCGAACACTTATTTTGGGCCTCGCTCGTTGGCGCATGCTCGTGGCTCGTCGATTACTCTCACTGGTGTCGAATCGTGACACTTTCTTCAGACAACTCTGGGTGGCCAGAGCTCCGCTACTAACCGAAGATCGCATGGCCGTGGGCACGGGTCGCTGTTGTTGTTGTCGCTGCTTTTCGCGCTCAAATTTCTGCAAATTATGCTCGAATTGGCGCACCACACTCGCCGTGCGTGAGTTGGTCACGCGTTTCGGACTCTGTTTATGCTCGACGCAGTGCGTGAGTGTGGAAACCAAATTGTGGGGCTTGGCAGGTATGGGAGGCTTGGGCTTCACGGGTTTTCGCACAAACATCAATTCGTTGGATTGCATGGGATTGGAGTTTCGTTGCTGGCGTTGTTGGGCAAAATCTGTGCTCAGACTCTTGTTAACTCCCGAATTGTATTGTTTATTTTTGGAGCGTAGTGTGGGTATTTCCTCAATTTTGCCAGCGCTAGTGGTAGTTGCTGCTGGGGGAGCAATGCGTGGATAGGTTTTGGAACTAGGCAGCGGCTTAAGTTGCTCCAAATTGTAGCCAGACATGTCAAAGCTATCGTAGCCGCCGGCGCCGCTGCCTACTCCCATTCCTCCTCCTGCTCCCGCTACTCCCCGCTGCATATAGTAATCGAAACTGCCGTAGGCATTGGGACTGCTGCCGTAGGACTTGGACAGCTGTTGGGCGACAGGGCCGTGTATGATAAAGTTTCGTATGCCCGCATGCCTCTGAAATTGCACGGGTGGCGGTTCGAGGGGCGCGCTCTTGCAGTCACTCTCATCGGAGAGCACGCTCTCCAAGCTATTGCAATAGCTTCCACCGCCATTCTCGTCACTCAACAGCGACTCCTGACTCATGCGATCATGCGAGGGCTGCGATGTGAGAAAGAAACTGGCGCTCGAATGGCGCTGAGTCTCCAGGAAGCGCGCCTCCTCCAGCCGCTGCTGCTGCTGCGCGAACTGCTCCGGTTGTAGGATGTCCGAGAGCGAGACCTTACGCTCACACTGATAGATCTCACGATAGACGGTGTAGTATTGGGTACAGTTGCCGCGGGGTGGGGTGCGCGTCGGTGTCGACTCCCCGGTGGAGCCCAGACCGCGCAAGTTCGAGGGCATCGAGTAGGAGGCGGGCATGCCGACTTGCCTTCTCTCGCACATGTCCACATCATCCAGATCACCGTATTTCCGCGTTATCTCCTCAATCATCTTCTCCGTATCCGCATGTATCATATCCAAGATGGTGCGGGCATCATCCGCATAGACCGAATGCCTCTTGGGCTCTGCAACTACGGTGCGTTCGTTATCTCCCGACCACTCGACCTCCTCATGCACCGGCGACACCGGGCACGATTTATAGTGCTTGAGTATGCTGGGCGTTCGTCGAGAATTGCCCGCCGGATTACGCTTAGCCCCCAGACGTGGAGCGGTCTGAGTTGTTCGGCCAGCAGTCGGCTTCTGCATGAAGGGCACCCCCGGTGGTGGATGTATCTGATGGACGCCCACATGATGCGGGTAGGGCGGATAGTGTTGCTGGACTTGACGCATGGTTTGGAAATTTTGCTGCAACTTCGATTTGGGTGCGGCACAGTTGAAGAATTGTTGTTGCTGTTGCTGTGGCGGCTGTTGTTGTTGTTGCTGTTGTTGTTTTTGGACAGGCTGGTATTGATTTTGGTGTTGAATTTGCCTCACTGTTTGTGGTTGTGATTGCTGTTGTTGTTGTTGTTGCTGGGTGGCTATAGCTGGGCTAATATACTGTGAATTTTCATGGGAAGCAACTATATGGTTTAGTAAATTCGAAAACAACATTAAATACACACAGACACACACACAGAGAATATTTCAATGGATACATTAATTCATTACCACAGGGCAGCAGTGAGCACAAAGAGAGAGAAGAGAGGAGAAGAGCAGCAAAGTTTGTTAGCCTTTTTAGCCTACTCGACAATTTACTGTAGGGCGCATTATAGTTCCTAACAGATCTAACCGATATCTTGTAGCTTACCCGGCTTTGTGTAACGTCCCGAGCCGGCGACATTACGCGATCCATCCAAGTTTCCGGCCATGCTCAGATCAGCTATGCTATGGCTGCCACGCAGCGGCCTGTGTCCGACCTGTGGATGGACGACAAATTTCAGTTAAATGCTACACTAATTAAAGACTAAGATAGCACTTTAGTATGGGATTAGAAACATAACTAATTGGTGGTTAAAAATAATGAAATAAATGTCTGTTATTTCTCAAAGCCAGGTTAATTACGCGGGCAAGAAATTATGTGAGTTGTTGCATTTTAAAGTTTATTAATTAATATTTATTTGTGTGTGAATATTTAAAAAAAGCATATTAATTTATGTATATACTCTACATAGGTTTATTTATTATCTTTTTTATTTTTTATATTTTATATACATAAGTATGTATACATATGTGAATTATTTATTAATTCCATTTTCCACTCCCTGCCAACCCTGCAGTTGCCATTTGAGTTCGCTTTTTTAGCAACTTTTTGTTGTTGTGTCTATTTTTAGATTCCCACTCTTGCTAGTGGCAGATGCGCACAACTATTCGTATTAAGTAGTTGGGCGCGCAGCGCAAGTCGCAGCTTAGTCGCTGGGCAACCAACAGCATCGGTGGTTCAGTGGTAGAATGCTCGCCTGCCACGCGGGCGGCCCGGGTTCGATTCCCGGCCGATGCAAACTACTTTTTTTTTTGTTTTTTTTAACAATTAATTTTAATTTTTAAAAAATTTTGTTTTTTTCATAATTAATTTTTATTTTTAAAAAAAATTAGTAGCTAGCACTTGTGTAAGTCGAATGAAGTTTAAGAATTCTTTAATTCATTAAGCAGTTGCAAATGTAAATGGAATACGGAGGCTAAAGCAGCAATCTCTTTTTAAAGCTACGCTCAGTTGGTCAAAGCAAACTTTCAAGTATGCCCTGAAGCCTATTTTATTTGAGTCAATAAGCAATAACAAAGACCTTAGCTTTATTGCCAGAAGCCTCTCCAGATATGAGTATATGGTATGTTCTTTTAATGGTCCACTTAAACGTTCAGTCGAATTTGTTTGTAAATTATATTCATGAGTAATGCGTAGTCGATGTGTTATAGATTAATATTTAGTAAAGCCCATTATGAGGCAACAACATTACACAACTTGTCGTCTCACCTCCAGTATGGCATTCAACTTTTTAATGCCATTTTTACGCGGGCCCTAAACATAAAAAGGGTTGTTGCGGATTGTTGGATATTCGAACAAAACAGACACCACCAAAAACAAAACAAGATATAAAGAAAAATACAGTTTGGGGGAAAATAATAATAATAATAATAAAAAAAAACAACATAGAAGAGGAGAACATAAAGTACAGAATAGGGCAAAAGACAAGGCTGGCGCCATTCACACTCACATTCTCCAGCGTCTGCTTGACCTTGTTGATGACCTGCAGGAGCTCCTCCTTCTTGGTGCTGGTGTATGACTTGGTTATGGTGGGCGATGCGGAGACGCCTTTGCCATTTTCAGTATTGTGTTTGGCGCTGATGCTGCGACGGCCTGTGGCGAGAGAGAGAAATAGTCAATAGAATTGCCTGATGGGGGTCCTCGCTGAACGGGCATTTCGCTTACTGCTCGTCCCACGCTCCAGCAGCATGCCGGGTCCCTCCGGCAGTGCTGCGTGCAGAAAACTATTTCCACTCTGTGGCAGATTCTCAGAGCTGCCGCCTAATGTTGAGGCCAATGAGCGTTCGGCATTCTCAGCGCTCGGCGTGGAGCCCTCGTCCTCGGTGTCCGATGTGCCAGTGCCCGTTCCAGTGCTGGCCGTATGCGAACTACCATTGCCACTCAGCTGGAGTCCGGTTTTCTCAAACTTTTGACGACGCACCGATTTGCGCAGCTCATCCTCGTTCATGGCCGTTACCTTGAAGTCACTGCAAAGATTCATAATTATATATAGTTCGTGAATTGAATTTAGTTGGGACATGAGGTTTCCAAACTTACGTTGGCGTGCTGGGCGAGATGTTGTTGTAGAACATGCCGTGATCCGAGCTAGTTCGCTCGCCATCCGATATGTCCTCTATATCCCCGTCATGATCATGCGTGTGGGTGTCAAAGCGCAGGCCCTTCCGCTTTTCTGGTTGCAGTCGCTGCTGCTGGGCCCCAACCATGGCACCATTGTTATTAACAGCACTGGCCGCAGCTACGGTGCCATTATTGCTACTGCCTATGAACTTGAGCTCGCGACGCGTCTCCATGCCCGAGTCTATGGAGCTATCTTCGCTCAAATAGGTCTGATTGTACATAATGTCCTTAGAGGAGGCACTATTGTAGTCCGAGGTCTGAACAGTGGTGGCACTGATGCCGCCCACCGATGAAACGGTGCCCAGCGGACTCTCCGAATTCGATCGTAAATCATCCGGGTCCAATTGATTGCTACGCTGTGCCCAACGACCTCTGGGGCGTGGTGCCACGCCCAGCTGGGTTTGACTAGGCGACGAACTGAGGTTGGTCATGGAGGAGGCCGCATGCATGGCCGCACCGCCGACAGAGGCGCTTACCCCCGGCGTGGGGATGGACATAGCGCCACTGTCTGAGTCCGCCACCTTACGTTTGGCCCACTGCGGCAATTGTCCCACATCTGAGAGTCTGTAGCCGGGGGTCGGTGGCGAATCTCCCGCAAAGCCCGCCTGCGGTGTGACAAACTTTTGTGGCATGCCGCCCAAATGTTCCACCAACTCGTTGGTTGGCGACTCCACGACAATGCCCTCCGGCGGAGAAATCGGTGCGAGGGGTCGCTGCAGCGGGGCGTGCCCGGAACGCAAGCGCTGTTGGGACATGCGGGCCTGCATGGTGACAATCATGTCGTGTGGCACTTGCCAAATAAAAATGCAGCCATCCCCGCTGGCCGAGATCAGATGGCGGCAATCGTTGGTGAACTTCAAACCCGTGACCAGTTCGCTGTGTCCGTACATGCGAGCCATGCACTCGCTGGAGTAGTAATCGTAGACGGCCAAGGTCTTATCCGTGCACGATGTGGCCACATAAATGCCACTGGGATCGAGACTCAGCTTAATCAGACTGCCCTCATCCGAATGGGAGCCCTTAAACGTCTTCGTCTGCTTGGCATTCTGGGTGCCATAAACGCGCACATTTCGATCCTGGCAGGCGGTGAGTATGTGCTTGGCATTGGAGTCCACCTCCATGTCGTAGAGCGTTGTTTTGCCTGAGGTGTTGGTGCCGCGCAGAAAGATGTTGCCCTGCAAACAGAAAAGCGAATGTAAGTCCAAATTTGATTAACAAACAACTATCGCGCCACTTACCTGAAAAGTTCTGAACATAATGGATTTATCTGCGCCGCACGATATCATTTGGAAGTTCAGTCCGGAGCCCACAAACTTTATGGACGTTATAGACGATGAGTGATCGTCTAGGGTCTGCAAGAGCAAATAATTCTGCGACACATCGAAGACATGAATAAGACGATCCCGACTGGCACTGGCCAGTAGCTTGCGTTCTATTTTCTCATTGGAATACTCCAGACACAGAACTTCCGATTCGTGCGCCTCGATGGTGGTCAACAGTTGCAGATTGACGAGACTATAGACGCGAATGTTGCCGCAACGATCGCCGCTGGCCAAATGCTGCAGTTCCGGACTTATCTTGATGCAGCGCACACCATTGCGACCATCGTAGCTGGAACCGCCCGTCTTGTCCGTCAGCGACGAGCCCTGATCCTTAATGAATTGCAGGTCCTCATCGCTGTAAATGACTTTCAGCAGCTCCTTGGAGTAGATATTTTTCCGATAGATTTCATTATTGGCACAACCATCCAGCCCCCAGACACGTATGGTGTCATCTGAGGAGCAGGTTACAAAGCAATCTTCGGGCAGCGTGTGCGACGGCTCACGCTCCAGGTTATATGGCACAGTTTCCACGCCCCAAATGCACGTGGAGTGGTAGAGGAAGGAATGCGATTTGCCCACACGGGAAATGTCACGCAGATCCCAAATGTAAAGGGAGTGATCGTTGTAGACGCAGCTGACCTGTGAGGAATGAGAAGAGAGCTTAGTTGCTGATCCTTTATAATCATTGAAGTACCATCTCTGTTTTACCTTGGATCGCTGTTCATCGAAGACCATGGCAATACAGTCGGGAAACTTTGCCTGTGTTGGCACAGACATAATGTGATTGATTTGTATGCCCTGAGCCACATCGACGCCGAGGTAGTGTGTACGGGGCAGCGTCGTCACATATTCCAGTGTGGCTGCATTGAAAATCCGAATTATGGACTCGGCACAACCGACGAGTATGAACCGCTCATTGACGCAAATGCAGTTGGCATTTGTGGTGCGACACTGAACCCACTTATCCAGCAGCCGACGCGAGCTGAACTCCACCAGATGGCCCTGACGTGTTATGGCATAAGTGCTCTCCGAGCAGATACCCTTTCCGCAGGCCACCGCACAGAAGTCATTGTCGCGCAAATCGCCTAAAATGGCGCTGCGCCCCATCAGTGGAATGGGATCTTTGTACTGCAAAGTGGGGGAAGGGGTTATTAGACATTATTAGCATCTGTTATGGTTAGTCTCGGTTTAGGTCTTACCTTGCGACCGCCCTCCAAGTACCAGTATTTGACGTGACGATTGCCCACGGTGACAAAGTAGCTGCCATCTTCGGCAAAACAGACCGCAGCCACCTTCGAGCTAATCTTATTCGAGGCCATTTTCAGATTGGCCCGCCAATCGAACACATTGACAATCATGTCGTGCTGCGAGCCAACCGATACCAGGTACTTGCCCGTGGGCGAGAAGGCCTGCAAATGGTAATGGTAGTGTTTAACGTTAATGTGAGCCAACAAGTTGCATTACAAAGTTGCTGCAGTACACTGTCCAACAAATTAATGAGTTCTTGGAAGTGAAAATTGTTTAAAATGGAGCCAAGTTGAAAGTAAGCTTTTTGGAAGGCATAGGAATGTGCTTTTACTTTTTAGAATAATGAGAAGTGTTAAAAGTTAAGGTTTTTAAAAGAATACAATATTTCTTGTGATTAAAAAGGGGAGTCTTATGTGTTATAATACTGAATTGCTCGCCGTTAAATGTAAATTAAACTAAAGAAAAAAGGTTTAATAAAATTCTCGAAATGAAAAATGGTTCTCTACTTATAATGAAAAATAAATAAGGAATGTGTTAGGTAAAGGAATCTAAAATAGTTATATAAAAGAGTTATAATCTGTAATGGATCGGAAACTTCGATTGAACTTTACTGATGAAAGATGTATAATTTATTTGTATAATGAGTTCTTGCAATTGAAAATTGTTTACAATTGAACTAAGTTAAAAGCAAGCTTTTTAAAAGGCATAGGAATGTGCTTTTATTTTTTACAATAATAAGAAATGTTAAAAGTTAAGGTTTTTAAAAGAATAAAATATTATTTTTGATAAAAAAAAAGATATTTTATGTTTTATAATACTGAATTGAGTCTAAAAGCTCGCCGTTAAAAGTAAATTTGAGTGAAGAAAAAAGTTTAAAGACAGTTCTTAAAATAAAAGATGGTTCTCTTCTTATAATGAGAAATAATTAAGGAATGTGTTAGTTATAGTTATCTACAAAAGTTATATCAAAGAGTTATAATCTGTAGTGGATCTTTATTGAACTGTACTGATGAAAAATGAATAATGTAAATTATCAAAATAGAAAGTGCTTGTCATTCTGGACAATTATTTATGATTGTTTAGGGGATTTAAGTAGACGGTATAATGAGCAATAAATACATCATTATATTCCAAAATTATGTTGTTGAGTGTATTTATATGTTCAACTTACCACACAGGTGACGGCATATTTGTGATCCACAAACTCGGCGATCACATTGCCGCCGCTGCAATGCTCCAGATTGCCGTTGGGCGTTTCCAGCTCCCAGACTTTGATGGCGGGATTGATGCCGCATTCGCCGGTGGCCACGTAACGGCCGCAGCGGGAGAAGGCGACGGATGTGAATGCTTTGCGGGAGGTGTTGACCAGATAGGCCTGTGTGTGGCGCTTGGCATTGAAGAGCACGACGGTGCAGCTGCAAAAAACAAAAACAAAAACGGAGAGCACACATATGTTTGTTGTTAATAAAGCAGCCAGAGCTTAAAACATTGGGCCGTCCTTGACCACAAGGGCCAGAGCTGGCGACAAGTAGCTAGTCAATGCCACTGCCATTTAAATGGGCCAGCAGCCACAAGGCGTTTACAGTAACCATATTTAAAATGCAGAACTATAACAGCCCCTGCCCTTCCTCTCCCCCTCGCACCGTTAACCCTTTGCCAATGTTAAATGCTGCTGCAGAACGACCTTACGCCCACTGCCCCAGCCAGCACCAGAGTGGCTGCTGTTGCTGCGGCTGCTCATTATTAAGCTGCAACCAGTGAGCTTCTCTTTTATCCTTTTAGTTTTTTGTGTGCCAGTATGTGTGTGTTTTGTAGTGCCATTAAGCGACCGACTAGCCCGGCCCAAGCGTGTGTGTGCATGTCCTGCCCCTTGGCTGTGTGCGCGACCCCTATTTTTAGTTGCCCGTTAAGCGTTTGCACTTTTCATTTTCATTTGCGTTTTGAATTTCATAGCTTTGTGCACATTTCTGTGTGTGTGTGTTGGTGTGTGTGTGTTTGTGCCTTATTGTGAACTGTAAATATGTGTGGGTGTGGACGGCTGTGCGCCTTTTCTTCCTTTAATGTGCATAATTAGTGTAATTCCTGAGCTTAATTACTATGTTTGAGAATTTATGTGTGAGACGCGGGCTCGCAATGAGAAGCAAATTATAAGCAATGGCACTAGCAACTATTTATATTTAAATAGTAAATAATGCTTTGTTGCGAACTTAAACAATAACAACTGTTTGCTGAGACAAACAGGAATTTACTTTGTTAGGTCCCTGCAGGCATGTGCATATATTTTTAATCAGCGCAGAGGAGTCGACGTAAACATTTGTATAATCGCAAGGATTTTGGCAAGTAGAAGAGATGAAGCCATCGAATTTAAGGTTTAATCTAACAGCTTTTTCCCTTTACTAAATGGTTTTATTTTCAATGTTTAACATACTATTTGTATGGCTCATTCAAAAAGGAATTTTCTGCAAACACAACAAAGCTCTTTGAATATTTAGTGCATTACTAGTAATTGGTAATTTCCCTTTATATTTCTGACGGGTATTAAATGATACATTAAAATAGTTCGAGCTGTGCGGAAGTAGATGGAATAATAAAATGCAAAAAAGGTACGCTACATACAAGTATTACAGCGCTAGATATACTATATACCTATAAGATATAGAATGCAAAACATTTCATAAAAATAAAAGCAACCACACAGTAAGCCTAAACACTTCAGGCCCATCAGCCTAGTTTCGTTTTTACTGAAACCCCTTCAGAGACTCCGACAAACTGATGTCAGACAAGAAGTCGACCCGGAACCCTATCAAATGCATGCCTATACTGTGAGACTCCTTCCATGAAAGAGTATTATTTGGCACCGTTCTTCTAAAAAAGGCTCCTTTCTTTTTGTCACGCGCACAGCTCTATATTGAAATGTTGCGACCTTTATGATAATTAAGACATCAAGGAAAAATGTTCAAAAAACTAACAGAAAAACTGCCATTAAGTGTGCATATGTAAGAAACTTAAAGTTAAAGCATTATTTTTAAATGCTTTACCACTTTAGAAAGTGGAACTAATATTTAGGCACATATTAGTTAAATTTGTTAACAAAGAGCTGCCCTAGAGATGGGAGGCAATAGAGGGGCCACGACATTGCAACGAACAGCTCATTGCAATCGTAAATAAATACTTCTCTCAACAACTTTCTCCACGAAGTCAAGTTGTTCCTGCATCACCTTTATGGCCTGTTAGGAGAAATGCAATTTTTGACATTTGCCGTTACGCATACGCCACGTAATACCAATTGAAAACGAAAGCTAACTCATACATATGTAAATGTGTTATGCGCCGAAATGCAATCAGAGTGACATTAAACGTGTAACCAGCTGTCGTAACATCTGGCGGGGCCTCGGCTCCCCATCCCCCATCCGCCACTCCCCGTCTGCCAACTCTCAAGCGCATGCAATTTGTTAAATCTATCCAGCGACTGTAACAAATTGTTGTATGCAACAACAACAGCAACAGCAACAACAACAGCAATTTTTCATATATTTTACATGCAATTTGGTAAGCGAGCAAGAGTGGAGGACAAGGTTTGCAGTAAATGTCATCTTGGCCTCATCTGGCAGCGCCTGAGGAGATTTAATCAAAATTTGGCAGCTAAATCAAGCGATGCAGAGGGAGAGGGGCGAGGCATATCGCATTAAATTAAATGAACGCAACTTGCGCCGGAAGTTTTAGAGCCTGACATGCCATTTCCTTGCCCTAACAGGATATGCACAACGACCTGGCCATTTGAAATGCCTTGAGAGCATCGAGCTGCCTTCTTTTATATTTAATTGTATTTTCAATTACAGTTTCATAGCTTACCCGGCTGGATAGGCCAACAGGCCGCTGACGGGCGATACATCCAATGCGGCATTGCTGCAAACAGTCAGGCCAAGCACTTTTTTGAGTTTTATCTGAAAAAAACAGAATAAAGAAAGGAGGCAACAATTATTGATTAGCCTGCAAGCTGGCATTACATCATACTTTTTGGCATACTACCCGGCCAAGGTCATTCGATCATGTAGCTAACATGTTGTACAACTTAAATCAAATATCTAATACATGAGCGCAAATTGTTTCAGCACACAATTCGCACATTTGCTGGGCCCATCCTCCAATTTGCATACCTGATGCCTGCTTGATAAACAGAAATAAAAGCTAACTAAACGACGCAACAAAAACAACAGCAACAACAACAATCACAACATGTTAACATGGTTTTCCAATCGAAAAGTCAACAATAAAGGCTGACTTGTGTAGTTCATTTGATGTTGATTGTTGTAAAATATTTCAAAACACGCTTGCTAGTGGTTTTGCTCTTCTTTTGTTGCATAAATAAATAAATAGGAAATTATGTCTGTATGTGTGTGGAAATTGTAACGGATTTTCTTCATTCGAATGTTAAATAAACTGACCTAAAAATCTACAGGTTGTTTGGGCAAGCATTACTTGTAAAATACTCGTAAATATTTAGAAATACGCAAAATCAATGTTAAAATAATAATAGTAATTCATTAAATTAAATCTATTAAATAAATAGAAAATATATATAATATTAAATAAAGAAACATTTCGTTGTGAAGAAAGATAGAAAGAGCTTACTTTATATATAACTAACTACTACTTATATAAGTATTTATTTACTTTTCATGTGATGCTAGGTTTTGTTTGTTTAAGATTTTCCTAACAAAGGGTATAAATCTACTATAGAATCTATCTACTAGAAGCAGGATCAGTATAAGTAGCGTAAAGTGTTAAGGATATTGCTCAGTAGATAGGCAAGTTTCCGTCTAGCCAACCTTGCTGGCTTAGCCAGGCGTGTAACATTCCAGCATTCCAGTAATAATGTCCACCAATTCATTATATATGTCAGATAAATTGGAATGAAAGTTTTTAAATTTTTGCACCAAAAATATAAACGTTTTAAGAGCTATGTACGGCCAAAAGCAAACGATTTATCGACATATAACAGCTCCTCTAAAATATCTAACAAATACTTCACTCCAGGGCTTTTAAATCATATTGCATTCAGACAACAATTCTTAAAATCCCAAAAAATTGCAACTTTTAATATAAATTTAGTTATGAATAATAGAAACTATAGACCTGTGTCTGCATTTAATATTTAGCCGTCTCTTGTTATTTGTATTTGCATTTAAATTTGACTAAAAACAGCAGCATGCTCGTATGACTTCATTCATGCCAAAATAAAGAAACAAATGGCTACGTAATTTTGTTAACAATTCCATTACTTTTGGTTATTTATTTATTTATGTTTATTTTAGCGAGTGTTACGCCTGAATAGAGCTTCACCTTGATCTTGCTTATGACTTAAGGAAACAACAAAAGTAGCAACAATAATACAATAATACAAACAGCTCACAATAGTGAAATAAAATAATGCCCATAGAGGTGCAATTACGGGGCGTTAATAATCAGAGCTGAAACAGGTTGCTGCCACACATGCAACAAAACAAATAAAACAAAGGGAAGCACAAGTCAAGTGTCGTTGCTACTCGTACTTGTGACAATTGTGTGGGGCGGCGCACCACTCGTATCAAATGAAATGCTCATAAACGCATTTTCATTTGAATTGCCATGCACTTGAGAAGCAGCAGTGTGTGGGTGCGCTCATTAAAGTCGCACAACACTTAAAAGCGATGCCCAAAGTACAAGTAGTTTCAGTAACAGTTCAATAAAAGTTGGCATGCAAAAAGTTGGCAAGCATTCGTAAGATACTTTAACTACTATACAAGTACAACACAGATACACACAACACACACAGATAAACGGCGAGCAGGCAATACGCAGTACAAACAACAAATACAAGTCAGCTGAGATCATCTCGAAACCAAAACAAAGTTGCTACAATGTGCGACATCAACATCACCATGCGGCTTGTTTTTGTTTACAGAAGTTAAGTTTAAGCCCGCCTCAATATATTGTACATACACGTACATACTTGTATACTTGTAGATAAGTATGTTTGTATATATGTATATATTTTTTATTGGCTGTATTTCAATTTAAAACGCCGCCACCAACGCACTCAGAAATATTTCGCTCTGCCATATTAAAATACAAGCATGAATTAAGTGTTGGAAAGGTCGCTGGCAAACCGGTTCCATATCTATATCTTGTGTTGTGGATTATTATACATTTGCATTTTTAATGATTGGCAGGCAAATAATAACCCGTGAAATTGTAAACAATTTAGAGGCTATGAAATAGCCAAGCTGAAATCTATGCAGCAAAAGATAATAATAGCTGGGCAAAGAATTCAGCGCTGCACGACTGGCCTGCAATTGAGGGGTGTACGCGGCGTATGCGCAATGAGAAATAAAGAATTCGTGATGCTCTGAGCGTGCGGCCCTCAATTAGCTTCTCAACAATTAACAGTTGTCATTAGATGAAATTATTTCAATTTAAATGCACAGAACTTTGGTCGAATATTGCCAATCCGGACTGTACATACTTTACTTTAAAGTGTAGGCATTGGACTGTTGTTAAAGATAAATTAAATGAAAGAGAAATTCGAGCAGATCAATCAAGAAAAGTGCTGTTTAAGTCATGGCTAAAGCAAATCTGAACGAGGAAACGGACTGAAAAGGAATAACATTTTTCCATTGCCTTGATGGGAGAAAAGCCATCGCTCCTTTCTCATTTGAAGTTTGAAATGTAAATGTAATGCGAGTTTGAAAATTGTTTATTTTTTTATTGTATAGATGGTGTCCTATCTAGGATTGATTTAAGTTTGCTAAAAAGTCGTGACCCGGATAGCGCCATATTATAATTGGAGACCGGAAAGGCTTTTGTTTCTTGTAGTCGCATCAGGGATCTAAGCTGTCTTTGGGTCAGCTTTATGATAAGTCTGGTCTCGGCTGTTTGGTAGGACTATCAGATTTAGTTGTGGCTTTAGCATGGAATTAGGAAATTGTATAAATCTCTCTCTCTCTCTCTAGAACGGCTGATATCATGTTAGAGTAATCACATTATATACACTTGTTTGTCAGCTAATTTCAAAGTCCATTGCTTAAATATGTTGTTTGTTTTCTGCACAACAATAATAATAAAAACTTATTCAGTTCAAGCTATTTTTAAACTCTTAACTATGTTAGTATAGTTGACATCAATAAAGAAATGAGCATGAAATTAACATACAAGCCATGTTTTAAATTTGATAATATGATTTAGTTAGTTTTCATTATTGTTGTTGCAAAAGAAGAACAATAGAGCTTTGTAGAATGCGCTGCACCCAGTTTTCTAGCTTTAAGCTTAATTTTTTTGATATAACCACATTTTTGCTAAGCTTTTTGCAATTTTATGCCATCGGCCAAAACATAATTCCAAATGCCAAAACGTATTTTAATTTCTATAAATCTTGAATCGTGCATTCATTTCAGTTGCTTTTGAAGTTTCGGCATAAAACGGAAGTCCGCGCACCTCATTTGTCAAGCAATTTTGGGAGTCCAAAAACGTTATGAGGAATTCCATTTCGCAGCGAAATTCATTTTCCGCGGGCTGCCAAACAAAAATGGTAAAGTAGCTTAGTTTGTTTGACAGACGACGATGCTCTTAAGGCTGAGTGGGTGTGTGGACTGATTTGCGCAAAACGTATATAAATTATATTTTAATTTGCTGAAATTTCAAAAAAACATGCTGGCGCATGCGTAATTAATGTGAAAAACTATATACCGTGAAATTGCAGCAAATACCCGTATTTATAGACAAAAGTGCAGATAATAATTGTTGTTCCACGACAAGACACTAAAATGTACGAATCACTGAATGCATTTTCTGTACGTTTTGTTAATGAAATGCATTACGAAGAAGATGTTGTGCTGCCTGACTTGCCAATAAAGCTAATGATGATGATTATTATGGTGATGATTAAGATGATGATGAATGCCACATGTGCGTTGCAAAGTTCAATGAACGCCACAGTCGACTACTGAGAGCCGCACATCAAGTTTAGATTATTGGCCATGGCGAATTGTAGATTCGTTTGATTGCATTCGATTCTTTGGATCAAAGATCATACTGCTCGGTTCGTGTGAATGACTGCCAAAATTGATAGTAACTACAAAATGTAGTTGTGGGTTGTTGTTTGTTCTCTTTGCTGTTGATGTTGTTGTTGTTGGCGGCACATTTCTGCTTTGTGCAACCCACGCCAAAGTTAAAGACTAACCGAATTCTCAGCTCGCCAAGTTTATTTGCACGACAAGGTTCCTCAAGTGTGACAGGTGTCAAATGAATGCGCAATGTTTGTCTGGCCAAATGGCAAAGCGTTAACTTAAACAACAACAACAACAACAACAATCATAAGAACAACCATACGGTTAAAGAGGCTGAAACGAGGTCGTAGCCAAAGAAGATTTATTTATGCTAATGTTACAGGTTTTGGTTTTAGGCCCGCTACAAAAATGTTGAGCTTAGCTCTATAATCGAGGGAAGTTGCTTGCTTGTGGGATCTTAAAACAATGGCAGCTTAAATTTTTCAGGAAGTTTGTCCAATGCTGTTAATTTTTGCCATGTCTGATTGTACACTGACAGAAAAACTGTGTAATTGAATAAGTTATTTGTTCTCATAACAAAGATCATCAGCGGTACAAATCGAGGCGTTTTTCTTCAATTTAATATTCAGTCAGTCAGTGAAAGAAGCTCAGGAAAAGAGGAAGAAGCTTCATTCTAAAAATCGAAATAATTCCGTTGAAATGATTTCACATGCATTCTTTTCACATTTGGCCTAGACTTTTTTCGCGCAGTGTTTAGGCTTTCATGCCAGTAATTGCGTTTGTATAAGTTAAGCATTAAATGTTATTTATGATCAACATGTTTTTAATACATATTTAATTATTTTAATTATAACTGCAGCATATCGCAGGAAAATTCAACTGATTATTGCTGCTGGGAG